TTTTTTTTTCCCCTTTTTTTCTCGGAGGGTGGACAGACCCTATTTATGTACCCCTTGCCTGTCCACGCTATGCACCATTGCCACCAACATTTAACACGAAGATCCATAAGGTCGAATGCCCAGGTGCCTAATGAATCTCGTTTGAGCCACAGATCGGCGTAGACGCACCGATACGTCTGCCACAGGGCTGAAAATCCATCAACAGATTTCCTTTTTCCACCTGCAGAGTTGGATCTTGGATTGTCGATGGTACACGAATGACGCTAAACTCATGTTTCCACAACTCTCGAATTCTCGTTCCTATACATGGCTGCGTCACATTGAATGAAGCTCGAACAAGCAACGTAGTTGGTTGAATATTGCAAATAATTGCTGCTACTCAGGTTAAGATTCAGCGTCGTGCGGATAAAACTTGAATCTGTGTACATCGTCTGTGAGGAACGCAATAAGCGCCTTGTCGTTCATGCCGACTACCTTCAGGACCAATGACAGAAGATGCACACCTGAAACTGATGTCAATATGCTGTGATGTGCCTTGTCAGTATCAGGAGGCTGGCATTAGCTGGTCAAGAACATGAAGGGGTTGGAATTTGAGTTTTCCAGCCAAAATTGGGACAAAACAAAACATACAGCACGAGGGATTCCCACGTGGTCACCCACCGTAGTACTAATCTCGCGGTCAGCTGCTTAAATATGGGAGAGCGGACGGGATCCCTTGTTCTCAGCTGCCTGTGGCCGTATGTGCTTGTCTGGTGAAAAATTGTGATTCTCATGGTTACAATTCAAGCTCGTTACGAGGACTATTGTGTGCGTTGTGTGCGATGGAGACATCCATACAGGGCAAGTAATCAAAATCTCACCGAATAATGGAACGGGCCCACGTGACCAGAACAATCTGGATTGCTCCCCACGTTGTCTTGGCAAGCTTGCGAGTATGCCACGTGCATGGCGCCGACTTGCAGGCCAGAAGCGAAGAGTCGTTTCCGGTGAGCTAGCGCATCAATATCACCCCATGAGGCAAGAGCCAGCAATATCGGACGGGACCTCTCGATGACTCTTCATATATCTCAGAATCCTGGTGATGGGAATATCACACGCGCACGTCTCAGCGAAAAGTCTAGCCGCGGACTTGTCGTTTTTACTGACCTGTCGAGCTGATCATCCTGATCTGTCGATGTCTAAATCCTTAGGCTCGCTTTTGTGAGACGGACCCCTCTTTCAATGCTTCAACATCAGGTGAGCGCAGCATATATCGATGTGTGTGCGGCTTCCTAGTCCGCAAAGCAAGGATGCACACTTTCTTCTTGATTGACCATGTTTTTAACTCTCTTCGTCTCGGATTTATTCCCATTCCGGGCAGAAAGCCTCCTTTCTGCAATATAGAAGACATTTGCACTGTGCGACGGGATGTCGAAGGGTATGTAAATAGTGATCAACGTTCGTGCTTTGACCTCTCATGGCTGATGATTCTCAGTCATCAAGCGCAAGGAGTTGAAGACCGAGCAGCACGGTGATTCATCGCAGCCGGAGCAGGCTGCCGAAACATATCGCTATGCGCAGTCTCACGCCTTGTTGGCCACCACCAACGTGACGTCTCCTGCTCCTGCCGTTATCTTTTCTTCACAGACACTTCTCCTCGAAAATGCAAAGTTGAGAACACTGGCTGCACAGTTTCAAGTCGATTTGCGACACAAGTTGCGTAAGATCGAAGTCAATAATCGTCCTGTAACTTACAGGGACGAAGCCAGCACGAAGGCTGCCTTGGATATCTTGCAACAGCGCCGTTCAAGCGATCCCGCTTACAAGGCCCCAACAGGATTTAGCAAACTCACAAAATCGAAGGCTAAGATGGCCGAGTTTGACCTTAAAGAGATTCAACGTGCCTTTGAGGCCGCTGCCGACAGCAACGCTTCTTTGGGAGTGATTGATGCTCTCCTTAATATGGGTGCGAGCGTTGACGTCGCTCGACGTGCTACAAAAAACCTGCTGAAGATGATGCAAAATTTCGATCGGGAGGACGTTCGGAGTCAAGTCGTGCAAGAAGCTGTCCGAAGAAAAAACCATGCAATGTTACAGCTCTTCGTAGCTCATGCCGATCAAAGAACTCTCGACGAGTCGCTTCTCATTGCTTCCGAGCTGGAAGATCTCCAGGCGATCGAGCTCTTGGTGAGCCACAACGCCGATTACTCCTCTGCTTCCGATGCTTTCATTACCGCTGTTCGCAAAGGCAGTCTGGAGACTGTCACGCTTCTGCTATCTGCTAGCAAAGGTCCGTCCGCGGGCACAAAAGCACTGGCTCTTATCGAGGCCGTTGAAATTGGTGATGTTCCAAAGACCATCGCTCTTTTAGCAAGCAATGCGGACGGATCATTTGACGAAGGCCATGCCTTACGCTCGGCGATCTCACATGATAATATTCCACTCGTTTTGTGCATCTGTGGGGCGCCTCTACCTCCCAGCTCTAACCAACTTGACAGCATGCTTGCGCTGTGCTACGATCACGACACCGCTCGTGACGAGAACCTCTATCTGCTCGAAATTTGCCTAGCTTCCGGAGTCAGTGGGCCGCATGCACCGCAGGTGCTCCAGAAAGCTGTCACCTTGAACAATCTTGCCGTGGTCAAACTGATGCTCTACTGTAAAGTCCCAGCTGACACTGACGGTGGTCAAGCTCCTTGCCAAGCAGTGTCACTTGGGCATGTTGATATATTTGAAGAGCTCATGGGTGTTCCACTGGACGCGACAGCATTGAATAATGCGCTGGTCTGTGCTTCAGAAACGCCTTCAACGGCGTACCTGAAATTCGTGACCGAACTCCTCGCCAAGCATGCGAGTCCTGATCATGAGCAGGGCAAGTCACTCCTGGGGGCCGTGCAAAAGATCCGACTGGACGTTCTTCAATTGCTCGTTCCAGTATGTCAGGATAAGAACTCGTTGCGAGCCGCTTTTGATGCGATCGTTCGTGACACTAAGCACCAGACAAGAATTCGCGCACTGACAATCATACTTCGCGGAAATCCTGTGCAATCCGATCTCGACCGTGGCCTGACGACATTGGTAGAAGAACAAAATATGGATGATGATGCCGTGAATTTATTGCTTACCGCCGGAGCCTCGCCTGAATCATTCGATCACAAAGCTATCAAGTTTGCCGCTTGCCAACACAACACGACTGCGCTCGATTTGTTACTACCATGGATTGTGCAGCCTAAAATGGCCTTCTCAGTGGCTGTTCATGCGATGACCAGGTCTCCATCGTGGCATGAAAATTCCGGCTTGGAAACACTCTCGTGGCTGCTCGAGAGCGGTGCTGACGCAACAGAAATCGAAGATTCTCTCATTGAAGCGATCACTCTTTTTAACGCACCAGCTGTGAAGCTTCTGGCAGACTTTATCGTAGACAAAGATACTTACACTCAGGCATTCACCGAAATGTTGCGTTGTAGTATCGTGGGAAAGTCCGAGCCGAGGCAGACATGGTTGCAAAAGGAGTATCTCGAACTAACAGAGCTACTGCTCAAGAAGGGAGCTCAGGGCGAGATTGTCGATAGTGCGCTTCTGCTTGCAATTGAGGATCAAATATCCACCGAGTCCGGTCAAAAACATGAAGGATTCATTCGATGTCTCCTCGAGAATGGTGCTAGCGTTGACTACGGAGAGGGTGCAGCTCTTAAGATGGCAATCGAGGCAGGCGACATCAGCCTCCTGAAACAGCTCTGTGAAGCTGGTCCTCTCGCTGTGACATTGACTGCTCTGACTCCACTGACACTCCTCCATGAGCATGACGCCGCCAAGATAGTCGAAATGCTTAACATTCTCACCGCTGGTGAAAATAAACCTAATCTTGCGAAACGCTCGAGCCTTCACGGATGGTTGATATTCTTGGCCATGGAGCACTACCCAAAAGAACCAACCATCGTCCAACGCTTGATCGAGCTCGGTTGTCCCATCAACGTCCAGATTGAGTACAAGGTCTTCGGCGAGACACCTCCCGAAGAGAGAATCGAGGCCCACAAGAGGTGAGTGATTTCCGCAGGTTCTATGACCATCGCTGACCCCAATCTAGGAAAGCAGACTTCTACAAGTACAAAGCCAAGTACGCTTCGACTGTGGATGAAATGGAGCAATACTGTGACATGTCGGCCCTGTGGTTTGAGGTAAGCAGAGCAGCGATGAACGAGACTAGTGCCTTCTGCAATTCTCTGACTGACACTACTAATAGCAAGCTGCCAAGTTGGCAAGTACCTGTCTGGCAGCCGACAGTCCAATGCTTCTTTCTCTAGCCTACGAACACGCGCTGCTATACCTCGATTTCTCGCCGAAGCCTCAAGAGGGAATTTCCATCGCTCAGCAGGCTATTGATGCTGCCCGAGCGGTAAATGGTGTTCAATCTAAAGAGAAGTCGAAATTGCTTGATCTGCTGAGATCATCCAACGGAGAGACTCGGATGGTACTTTATGGATCGGGAACTCACATAAAAGGCGAAGAGCACGTTGAAGGTGAACACGCCTGGATAATTCATGAGCCTCCATCGCAATCCTTCGGCGAGGAAAAGGCTCTGGAAATTTATCAGAAAGAACCCGACATGAACTGGGTGGAGTACAGTGCGCTTGCCTCCACATCCGAGGATGGAGATGCTCCAGAGATTCTTCCCGAGCAAGACAGGATGCCCGTCGAAAACGTGACACCGTTGCTCTGGGCATGTTGTCAAGTGGGTGAGCAGTTAATAAGCCCTTCTATCGTCAAGGTGCTTCTCGAGAACGGGGGTAAGCTCTCAAACATGCTGAATCGACGGAGCAGATACTGATTTGCTTCGTGCAGATGATGTGAACACGATAACCGAGAAATCAGGAAGCTCAGCTCTCACGCTTGCCGCACGCCATCGCAATCCTGATCTAGTGGCGCTACTTGTTGGATTCAAGCCAGATTCATCTGTGAAGGACAAGCTCGGAAATTCACCACTTCTGTACGCCGCGAGAAACAACGACAAGGAATCGACAATCGCCATACTTGCGACAAATCCATGCAAGGACGATGGGAGTGTGCATGAAGCTGCTGTCAGACTCAACTTCGAGGTTCTCCGTGCGCTCTTGCAGGCAGGCCATGATTCAAATTTTCGATCGAATGCATTTGGAAACTTGACACCACTGGGCCAAGTTGCTAAATTCTGCGACGGAAGCCATATCACTGAGCTTGAAAAGACTCTCGACGTATTGATGGACGCGCATGCAGATCCTCTGACGAGATGCCGAGGCAAAACTATCCTGTACCTGGCTCTAGAGAACAAATTGCCTGTGCCAGTAACATCCGCTATCATCGACCGTATCATGTACAAGCACATGGACGACAAGGCCAATGTCTACAATCTTGATGGCTTCAACTACTCACCTTCAAAGTATATCGAGAAGGGGCTAGTCAAGTTGTCAAGCGCCGATGAAAAGGTGCTCCTTGAACTAATTCGGAGTCGCGAGAACGAAGCGGTATATTATGCAGACAAGGGTCTTGACATGCAGCCTGAAGACGCGTGTGGGATTCCCAAATTTCTGCTCGCACAAGAAAGAGAAAGGCGCGAACTGTTGAACATGCGACGGAAAGCGAATCATGAGGAGGAATCTCTCCGGGACAAGCACGAGCAAAAGCTACAGCACAACGAAAAGAGATCCGACGAAGCAGTGGGCGATGTGTGGGAAGAACACGATCTCAGTAAGCGACTTGAAGATGATAGTCAAGAGCAGAAGATCCGACACCTGGAGGAGACACGTGAAAAAACTGTCCGCCAACAAACCGAGAAAGTCGCCTTCATGAAGATCAAAAACGAGATGGAGACTCGACGGAAACGGGACGTGATGGAGCTAGACAATCAAGAGCGCATGAAGAAAAGGCTACAGCTGCAACAGGTGAACAACGAAAAGGACCGCCAGAAACGGCAAGCTAACACCCTGAATCGTGTCAAGCTCAGAGATAATCAGATAGCAGCGGTGAAGAAAAGGATTGTCTCAAGGGAAATGGGCCAGGGCAAGACGCGACAGAAGTGAGAGACCGATGCTCTCAGCCATGCTAAAAATATGGACGCTACCAGTGCAGCGATGGCGAGAACACGAACTGAGGCCCACAATCACCGATGATGACGACTTTTCCGGCTTCGCCAACTCTTTAAGTCACCGCGGTTGAGCGGATAACATCAGGCACTCTGATTCTGTTTCTGGAGACCATGGAGCGTTCGAACCACTCAACTATCTGTTAACTTCAGGCATATTGGAGAACCCCCTAGACGTATATATCCGTTTCCGATAATCTCTTGACGGGCATGGCCCATGAACCATGGAACCATGTTGCGTAGGCGTGATTAAAAATTAAAGTTCATGCTACGATAAGACACGCCTGTAAGGTATCTCCTGGTAATTTCATAATCCACGAATTCTGTTGCTTCATCACTTGTCTTCGTTCACGTCACTGTTGGCCAAATTCGCCAGCCCTGTCCTTTCTCCTGATTTTAGCGCGTTCGACCTTCTCCACCTGTCCACAAATAGCGCGCTTCGACCTTCCGACTTCACCTATTCTTCTTTACCTAGAAGATGTAAATAACATGGTGTCAGACTTCCGGTTCGTTGTCTCGGTGAGTGAACGCTTGATGATCGAATGTGGACGCTACTCTACCCCAGCTTATTTGCGCTACTGAGACTTCCTGGATAGCTGCTTGTAGCGGAAATTAGTACATAAATATGGCAGTCCAGCGAGCGATCGACGATTCTAGCTGCATATTATATGCTAACAGGCGTCTCGCATTGCGGGGACGGAACCACACGAGCCCGAGGTGCAGGGCCTGTCTGGTCTCCAGAATAAGCAATGCTGGAGTATGTGCAACACCATACGGAAGGATAGTATCCTCGTGAACTCGAGGTTGTGTCTCAAGCAATGCAGAAGAACAGAGTCATCGCGAATGATGTTTTTTAACGTCAAAACATGTTGGACTATCTGAAGCCATCAGTAGTGAGAGGCTGAGGACCTCGGGATTTATCTCGGTACAAATGAATCAACGTTACATGGTACGAGGCGGCTGTATAAATATCTTGAGTCGACCTCTCTTTTCATTTCATTCAAAAATCACCTCGGCACAATCACTTTTGTTCGAACATCAATACATTTGCACAAACCACTACAAACTGAACAGCACTTTCAACAACATGAAATCTACCTTATCTATTTGCAGCATCGCTCTGCTACTTCTACCGCTCACTAGTAGAATAACGTACTGCGCCTTCTACGACGACGAAAATGCAGCGTCAACAAAGGCACCGATGTATCTGTCGACAACCCTGGCTGTCTAGAGGAGAACACCGGTCGAGGCAGCATCGACTGCCACGGCGTCAACGTACAGAACGTGAATCTCATCGCGACCAACTCCCCTAGCTGTTCGTGCCAATATCAGATCTAGCCTAACGTCCTCGGCGGCGGGCGGCCTCCTCTTCCAGTGGGAGCAGGGTTGCTTGAACTTGAACCAGTACTGGATCGGGAAGGAGAGCGGCGTGCAATCATACCAATTCGTTGGCAACAACCCATCAGAGGCCAATCGATCTTGTAATACCTGTGATGGTAACGGGTGCGAATAGCAGCAGAGCCCATATGTGACTAGAGTTACTTGTCCAGAGGCCTGCAATCATTAGATGGTAGCCTTTTACAGTCGAGAAAGGATATTCTCTGATGAAGGACCAATTTCATTTGTTGCACGAATTGTCGAAAAAGTGGGTGACATTAGAAATGGAGAGGCGAGTAGAAGCGCTCTAGATTGGGGAGGGGTTGAATTGACTGTTCTGAACTCTACGAGATCGGACAAGTTGTCATGTCAATCTGCATGATGATAGTTGTAGCTAGCACTTGAATCTCTAACATCTCGTGCCATTCATCAATGTGACTTCAGGCGTCTATGCACATCTAATTTCCATCCTAGCGTCCCGAGACGTGCCCTTTCCGGGAAGAACCTCCGCGTGCTATAGATGTACTTGTTGCAACAGACCTTTTAAAAGGACGCACTCTGGGACACGCAATTGCCGAATCAGGTTAGTACAATACGCAAACAGCCGGGATCCACACTGAGTCGCGGCAAATGAGGCGGGCAATATCGTAATCGCTTAGCGAAACTGTGGTCTCCCCTGTGGGCTTTCCAATCGAACTCAGACCTCAAGATAAAATTCTGATAATCTAGCCCCGATGCATGCTCACCTCTTCTACGTCTCACTTTCTCGTGGGAGTGAGGCCCGAATGGAGGTGGACCTTCAATGATACGTTTGTCGCAAGCGACAACAACGGCGCCTCTGAATTCTGCAGTTTTGCCATTACATCTTTTGTACACAGAATCAAGATGGCACCAGTCTAAGGACTCTGTAGCTCGCATCTTATTGAAAAGTAGTTATAGGGTCATCGTAGTCGTTAAGTAGTAAATTACTGTATTATGGTGCGTCGAGGCTATCCCACAAACTACGTATCGTACTCTATCACAATTGCGTTGTCCTGAGTAGGAGGCTCCCACGGGCCAACCACCGTGTCGCTGTATTTCGGATCATCTCCGTAACACCCGTCCGCCACGGCCCTTCTGGACTCTTCGGGACTTCGGTAAATTTTGGTTGCGATTACGTCATGTAGGCTCCAGGGCTGTATGCGCTCTCGGAAGAGTGCATTCCCAAACTCGTCCACCATCCACCACTCCACGAATCCCGAACGGAATGCTTGGTCGTTTGCTACGAAGACATACTGCTGGTTGCAGGTCAGCCGATGTTCCTCGGACGAGGTCTCTTTGAACTCTGTCAAATATAAAGTATCTTGGAGCTCGGGATCATTGTCGGGCACGTCTTCGTCCTCATAAGCTCCACCTGTGGCTGATAGCAGGAACGGAAAGAAGGCGAACAGCGCCTTCTCATCAGGGAGGTCGTAGCGCTGTGCATCATTGGCAACGTGCCCGCCGCAATCGATGGGGCGCATTCCCAAGCCATCGAGCAGCTCCTGCCAGCGCGCATCAGTGCCTGCGCCGTAGGCGGTCCGTACCCATACGGGGTCTGACATCATGGAGCTAGAGTTCCATTCGCGCTCAGTCGGGGTGAGAAGGTCCGTCGGGACTTCCGCGAGATCTCGGGGCAATGAAGGGATCTGTCCATCCATCCACTTCCTCGCTCGGATCACATAAGGCTGTTTCGAGGTATCAGTCAAATCTGATTGAACGAGACTTCTACAGAGAGGCCCTACCCTGCGTCCGATGTGGCCTAAAGCCGCGTACGCCTTTCCAAGCTTAATGTGCAATACTCTCCGCTCGTCACTCGGCTGGATTAAGTCACTGCGATCCCATTTCTCCTGTCGACCATTTCGATTAGCACTTCCACTTCGGATGCATCGTTTACGCTGACAGACGTACCAACACGAACCAATCAAATCCACTGCTCAGAAACTCGTCCTCGCTCATTGTGTACCAAAAGCTTCCGGTCAATGTCGTATTCGCGACGGAGTTGGTGACCTGTGTAGCTACAGTGAGGCGTCTTCCACGCTCGTTTGGTCTCCCAAATTATGCGCGACCTCAAGTGTAGATAAAGTGGGGACGATTCGTGCGAAGACCCGTTTGATGACTGTGCCGCAAATGCACACTCGTTGCGTGATTTAGCGCTTGCGTTCGCTGTCATCATGTGAACCATAGTGGTCATTACTACAACATTAAATAGATGAATTGATCAGCCAATTATTTCAAGTCGTAAGTCAGAGCGTTGAGATCGACTTTCCAAATTGTTTGCCGGATGTTAATGTGTGCGCGGACGTGCGACAAGATGTTTCTTAGGGTTGGGGTTAGTAAACCTGCTCCGAACACGAATGAATGCGTGGATCTATAATCTCAATCACAACTGCTCGCGACCCATAACGGCGATTACGTCTTAAAAACAGATGGTGGGGATCAGCCGCAGACATATCCACCACACCTGCCAATGAGGACTTCAACCAATCACCGCACAATCTTTCAGAAGTCACGTTTCAGAACGCACGATCTTAGTGATTTTCACGTTACACAAAAATACAACTGTTCATCTCGAAAAATCTAGATTCGACTACCGGAGAATGAGACTCCTCTGCTTATCATGTCTGACTTGGGCCCCATCTCAGAAAATGGGCATGCGCAAGGCGTTCTCATGATCGATATTTACCCATTTCGCCTCGATGCGAGGCAAACAAGTGCCAAAAATGCGGTCCCATAGCCTCGTGGCCTTGCCATAATTCCCAGACTTTCTCCAGCCCTGTCGGTGATGTATGTCGTGATCTTCGAGGACGAGTTCACATCCAAGCCATGTCAAGATGCGGCTAGCTGGGCCAGGCACCAGAAACATCGCACGAACTCCAGAATGGCCCAGCGCTTCTGCGAAGAAGGTGAAGCATTGGCAGAGCCACCAGTCGTAGAAGGTCATCGGGAAACCGAAAAGCTTGAGGGTGGCGTATGTCAAGAGAGGGACGATGGCCATCTCGATGATTTCCTGCTCGACATCTGCGTAGGACGATAGTAAAGGGTTTGGATGTTTCGTTAGGTGATGAGTTCGATGGTATTTCCACAGGCCGTCTACTTCATGAGTGGAGCGGTGGTAGACGTAAAAAAAGAAGTCTAAGATGATTGGATACAAGGTGAGCTCGACGAGGAACCATGGGCTCAGAGTGATGGGCGCCGATCGCTTGTAGGCCAGTAATACGGTCATGCTTGAGCGCGCAGCGATGATACTGGGCACGCTAGCGATGATCTTGGAGAAGTGCTCCTCGGGCACCTTGTCGCGTGAGTGTTTGTCACCATCAAAGAACCCGGTTCTGTGAGCAAAGAAGACGTCCCGTTAGACGTCAATGTCAATAAAATTGGAGAGTCGCGCCAGGTTCACCTACTTGTATGCGAGAGCCTCCAAGGTCCGAATCTCGCGGCCCATGTTTATCGTTAGTCCAAGTGCGTATAAACCGATGGCGAGGATGTGTGGGAGTGGCCCGAAGAAGTGCGGGCCGATGTAATGATTGTATGCCGCATGCACAGCGACAGGCCAGGCAGCATGCGTGACGATCCACCGATCGACCGACCAGGCGTTGAAATTTGGCACCTTTTCCGTCTTCTGGAAAACAGGATATTCATTATGATGATTTGACCACCTATCAGCGCGCGCGAGGACCCTTTGCTTGAAAGTGAAGGTACTCGGGTCCTGATTTCTCCAGTCGGTGGCCGGGAGATTGTTTGCGGTGCTCATGTTGGCGACGTTTGACGCACCGGCGTCGACACAAAAGGACGAATTGACCATCACGTTGGAGACCAAAATATAGTGAAGGAACCAAATGTGCTCTTATTGTCGGTCTCTGATAATGGGCCAATCTTGAGTCTAAATATGAGCTTGCTCATGCACGTGCAAGCCTGGTGCCGCAACAGATGATCCCTAGTGTGTTCATGTACACGCGTAGTATATCTCGCTGGGAGGGCCGGTGCGAGAGTGAGATACGCCAATTAGTATCGTCTCTGGCGAGGAAGTCATAGGAACGGGAGGATAGCCAACATCGCGTTCGAGCGGAAGACGCGACAAAATCGTGCGAAACTCTCGAAGTCGGCACGAAGTAGCAACTAGAAAATTGAGTGATGCCAGGAGATGACGGCTTCACATAATTAGCTCCATGCGGGGGCAGGAGATGTGCTGGAGGAACTTCACACCAATCGATATGTTCTGCGATTTTGGCATGTGCCGATCGGCATGATGGATGCTCAGATCGGTAGAAGTTCGAAGCTTGAACCCACTTGGCAAAGGCACATGCCCGAGGGGGCTGCTCACCTATGCTTACTGATGAAGGCCCATTGGTGCTGCGAGCTCGTGGCCTTGGGAATCCAATTCTCGCGCGCCTTGAAGGAAGCCTAAATGCCACATGAGATTTACAAGTCCGCCTGCAAGATGAACTCTAAATGTCGGCATCGGTATGTTGCTCGGTGCGACAATGCCCCGACGTCTTCGCAAGTGATATATCGCGATCAGAATAACACAGGGCTCTTGCTCTCGCTTTGGCCAGATTATGCAACCATGTCGATTCCAAAGCATTCAAGAATGCGGGACCGAGCGGGACCTGTCCCCGCTAGATAGTATCGAGCATTGCGCTGTGATCCCAAGCTCGATGAAATTGATGTGGCGAAATGTGCTTGCTCGCCATGGAATAGTATGTACCAGAAGGCCAAGATTCGTGCAAAGTGATGTCGAAAAAGCGACTCCGGTGCGGGACTGCGGGAGTTTGCCCCGCAACCTTGGGGAAGTGGGCGCTGCAGATCTGGTTCGCTAGACGAATTGGCTCTGCTGCAGCAATGGTTACCGCTTCCATCACAAGGGTGGCGACCATTGATGGGGACGATAGGCGCGCTGGCGGTGGGATGATTTTCTTTTCCTGTGCTTCCTTGACGGGTAAAGTCAGAAGTGGTTCGCCCGATTCAAGAGATCATTCAACACTTGATTCGTTTTTTTCTTGTCTATCTCGATTTCGTGATGTTTCGTTCCTCTTATGCTGATCTAGAGATCCTCTGGGACGCATCATTACGCTCGACTTATCCGGCTCTCGCCTCATCCACGCTTGGCCTGGAATTTTGCGCATATGAGATCTTCTGAATTCTTGGCGGGTCAGGTCTGTATGTGATGGTAGCCGAACCCGTGAATATATGCTCCCCGTTGAATACCTAAGCAGTGCATGTCTAATGATGGATGCCGGATGATAGAGCCATTTTGAAACAGCTGAAGTATCCAAAAGTCGCACATTTCGGAGCACACTCTGTCAGCACGCTGCAGCTTCGCCTCCTTGCGCCTGAGTCAAAGCGCGTGAACAGAAGATGTCGCAGGAAGACTACCGCGTCTGGAAGGGACTAGCACTGATCTACCGCTGCTGCGGGAGACTTCACATCATACGATGGCAATCTCTTCGAGCGGTCCTGTCGCCGTCTCCATGAATTTGCCATCCATCACATCATGGACGTAACATTCTCCGACCAGAGAGTAGCGATCAGGTCCCTCTTTGCGGAACACAAACGGTACACTGCATCCTGGAAGAACAGCGACAAGGTCGCCGACCATGGTGTGTTGGGGCACGAGACCCAGGTGCCCGGTCTGTATCCAACAAAGCCTTCGCCCCTGAACTGCATTGCGGTACGCACGTCGCAGGTGCTGGAATGTGCGACCTGGTTGGCGGCGAGCTAGATTGTTGGCGGTGAAGTGTCCGCTCTTCTGTCGCTTGGTGTAGATTTGATTGGGCATCGAAGGGCTCCTGCCTGTTGTCGCATCGCACAGGAGGCTAATGATTTCGATAAACTCTGGCGGATATGGGGCCGGCGAAACAATCGAGGCAACCTTGCCTGCAACTATCGTGGCGCAGAAATTTTCAAACTGTAGACCATGTGCTGATGTCATGAGAACTGTGTTGATGAAATTGACACAAGTCTGTAAACTTGAATTTCTCCCCTGCGGGTCTTCATAATGCAGCTCCGCAGGATGCAGAGAGGCCGAGACCTGGCAAACGACGCCCAAGAATCGCGCAGATGTTGTGATGACGCGACCATCAGCAGATAGAGCGATTTCATCCCATCTAACTTGAGTGCCTGCACGGAAAAATGGATGTATGCTGAGATTGGGCGCCAGGGCGAAAGTGCGCCGCGGCTTTGACCAATCCGCGACCCATGAAGGTACAACGCGGGCGTCTGTCTCATGATCGACACAGCTCAGAAGACTACGTATCAATCTATGCGCATCTCTCGGATCTTGCTTGAAGTCCTTCCGGATCAGCATTGTTAATGTTTCGTGGTACAAGATTTCCTTCGATTTCGTGTAGTCCGGATGGATTGCGATGGGACAGACGCCTAGAAGTCCGTAGATCTTATCCAGAGGATTTGTCACGCTGGCATGTCTTGTGTTGGTCAACCATGACAGGAAATGTAAACCATCGGTTTTGCTAGTCTCTAAAGTTTGCCGCATCGAGAACATGTCAGCCAGGATCTCGGCACCAGAGATGGCGCCGATCTGGCCGTTACCATCGTATCGGCGAAACAAGTCCATCTCTTTCAAGCTGACACAATAACCTGCGAAATCTCCCCATGCAACAATCTCCTGTCCAGCCATAAAGTACGGATCTCGAGACAACACGGCTTCCTGAACGACCCATGTGCGTCGTACCCAAGGCCGCTCGAACAGCTCCTCCACCATATCAAAAGTGACACCCTCTCCAAACGACTCACGTTGCAAACGTTCAAGATCTTCATCGAGCAGGAAGTCTTTGGCAGCGAACAAAGATTGGCTGAGGACTTGTAGGCCCAGGAATGCGCCTTGATCGGATCTCTCGCCAAGCCAGATGATGGTATTCTCTGCTTTGCTGTAGATGGAACCCATGAGTCGCACTTGTATGGATTTGTCGGCGTTAGATTCTTGGTCGATACATAACTGATCGAGCCACAGAGTGATGGGACGGTGGACTTGACGCAGATGTCGGAGCATCTGATCTACGGTGGATGTAATCTTGACGGGATGTCCTTCGACAAGTACTTCATGGGCCGGACCCGCATCACCCCAGTAGTAGCTCAATGCGGTGTACGGAACACGCTCGCTTGTCTCGACCGAGAAATTGATGGGAATGTGTGTCGTGTACCCGCGCTTGCTGGTCTGATCTAGTGGCGCTTGATTCATATTACGCTTGAACCCTATATCGATGTGCCGTAAACGACCTTGCAAGGGATCACTCCCAACGCCAGGTGAAAGCTCGAACACTCGAATTTCATTTGGCAATGTCGGCCGGTACAGAAGCGTGCTTTCTTCAGATGAAATACTCAGGCTACGTCTCGCTGATATGTCGGCAAGGTACTCGTGAATCTGAGCGGAAATACGAGGCGATAGGCCCATTTCCAATTCAACACTCCCCGAGGCAGCCGCAAAGCCTGATTGGCGCTGATGTTTTCGGAATTGGGTCTTCTCCCAGAAACGATTGTGATCCTCGATATCGTCGGGTGGTGCATAGAGCGGCGCGATCGGCTGATTTGTTTCTTCGAAAGTAGTCCAAGCTTCTGGTAGTAGGATCTCCGCGTTCGTCCATTGCTGTGCTTTGACCGCATCCTGGATCGCGGTCCAGTAAAACTCATAGGCCTTTAGATTGTTCACTTGGCTGCAGATTACTGCTGATGCTTTATACCATTTCAAGGCTTTGAGCTCGTCTGCCTTGCTGCAAATCAATGCTGACACTTCTTTCCATGTTCTTCCTGTCCGGACCAACTTGCTTAGTTTTGACTGCAGAACTGCGACTTCTCCCGGCGTGTCGCTTGCGTCTGTCGAAGCCTTGACATGTGCCCTGATACACTCTTGGATCATTGGTTCGATGACCTTGCCCTCACGAGACTTGATTGCACGTGCAAGGAACTGAGCCGGAACGTTGATTGCCGCGCCAAAAACCAATTTGTTACCGGTGTCGAAGGTTTTGATCTGCTCATATAGCCAGAGAGTCATATCGGTATGCTTCGCTAGAAAGGCTTCGTCGACGGCACGTTCGATCTGCTCCACGTCAAAACCTACAGTGTGGGTGGTGATGATAAAGTTGTAGATCAGCTCGGCCATCGGAATGCTGCCTCTGCGAACGGCTTCCTTCAAGAGACGGCTCGTTTCTATGAAATCTATGCTGAAGTGGGGCGCATTTGTCAGCATGAGCTCAACGACATCGAGCTTGCCGAGTCGAATGGCACTTTCGATGGGGCTATCCATCCACCGCGAATATTTTGACGGTCGGCGCAACCAGACTTCGTCCTCTGGTGCCCACTGAAAGGACGTGTCCAAAATGCTGATACAGAGAAGACGTATCGTGTCATGTCTACTCTCGCGTTTTGTAGCATCGCTCTGAACAAGGAATTTCAACCAGGAGGAGAAGCAGTAGCGGGATGGCAAGTCTTTGACTACTTTGAGAAGAGCTGCCAGTGTTCGTGGTAGGCAATTGACTATAGCGAGCTTGAAAAGGCCGCACGCACACTCGATACGCGGGCTATAAAGATGCTCATTGATCAGGAGCAGTCGAATACCGGCGCTGTGGTCATGTGATGTTGTTTCGAGCACATCCTTGGGTATTGCTGGCGGCTGCAATGAATTTGATACATGACCTTCTTCTTTGGAAAATTGCGCATCGCGATAATTCTTCTGCTTCTTGAATTCCCTCGAGTCATCCGCGAGCTGAAAGTCAGCCAGTGTACGCATCTCACGTAGAAAGGGAAGAATCTCGAGATTGCCTTCGTACGCCTCCATTATGATTGCGATCCCGCATGGACTAGGATCGCGCCATGTTACAATCTCGCGTGCCTTCAGGACGGCGATATCGAAGAAATAATCGTCGATACCAGGTTGCCAAAGCGGGGAACGACGACAGAGGTCCATAGCCTGCGTCCAGAGGTCCTCAAAGCTTATGCTGTAGTCCGGGAGGAATTTGTTTGCTTCCTCTTCATCTACAAGGTCCAGCAGTGCAAAAATAATATCACGTGGCTCCGAGCATTGTCGCCAATAAGTTTCGCGCAAGCGATAGAGCAGCGGCTTGCGTGGCTGATTTCCGGTTTTTCGTACCCGCCACAACTCAAGCGGTGCCTGAATATGAGCCAGACTCTCTCGCATACGAAGATGAGTCAGGAACTGCTTCTCCTGGGGTGAAGTCTTCGACTTCAAGCTTTCCATTGCTGCCGCCCACCGCATGATGAAATCATCCAGGCCGATCTTCAAAGGTCCCAGCATCACAACCGGGCACGTCCTCGCGTACGCACAATTCTGCAGTGCCCATAGCTGTTTCCACCAGGGCTCTCGCTGCTTCGCCAGCGACGCGAAAAGTGCCTCATCTAGATCGATCTCGCTTGCGCCATCTGTCAGTCGCTTCTCCTCTCCCAACCAGATTCTTACCGTCAGCGCTCGACTATACACCTGGCGCAGATTGGCGACCTGTGATATGCGCTCGAGGCGGTTTGCCTGGTCAATACACAACACATCAACCCATACGTATACTACAGCCGTCGCATGGCGCATTCTTCGTAATACTTCCCATACATGTCGCGTCACCGCGAATTCAATGTTGGCCTCGCCCAAGATGACATGACAAACCGCTGTACCGCTACCTGGAGCGTACGATATCGCGTGAAAGTCCGGCGCATCAGCTATACGCCATCGAGTGAGGTCTCCGTGGATAGGTGAGTGCGAGTCGCCGTTGGGACGGATCTTCAGAAGTCGAAACCCTGAGGCTTCTTGCGTGATGGTTGCGGCGCTTAGTGTCGGCAAGGGAACGTGGATAGCTTCTCGACGGACATTGATGCGCCTCACCGGAGCTTCCGGAGTGTGGTTGATCAGGCCGCTATAAAAGTCGCTGTCACTGCGGCTGCCACTACCAGACATTGTGGACACGTCCGTGCTCACAGTCTTTGTGACAGAATCCGCTTTCGAAATCAGATGCGGTGAGTCCCGGTCATCGTCTATCTCTTATTTCCAATGCGGCCTCGCTCCTCTGAGGGAACAGATGTCGCCTAATATCTACGTCGCCATGCAGCGATATCTGCCGCCGCATTCGATTGCTCCGACGCTTTCAGCAGCAGTGGTAAGGGTTGCTTCCCACGTGACATCATCTATCGTGGAACACGGCGAGAACTTCCGCTGTGATCCAGGGTCTAGGCCGGAGTTGTGGCTCTGCGAAGTTAATGAGGGATTAGGAATGAGTATGACGTCAAGCGGAAGGACAGTGCAGCAAGCCAGAAGAAGAAGGCAATGATCCATTTCTGTGGTGAACACGACACGGGGTCGGCCTCAACTTTGCCTTGTTTGCTTGTGCTTGTTCTGCCCGACCGCGCTGACTATGCGAACACAGCCACTCTATATAGTTCAGGGCCCATATGAAGACCGTCGTGGCAGTGCAGCACGTCACCAACACCAACCAACACCAACCAACACCAATAGCAACCTTTGACGATATTTGTACATTGACATCATCGTGTTGGTGTGCGCGATGTCATTGCGACATAGCCATGAAGCATCCACAGCAGTTTCCGGATGTAAACATCCTGCATATATATTACATAGATCCCATAATCCCACAATTCGAACAATCGAGATCTGAGACAAAGACACAAAATTCACAGTTTCAAAATGTCCACCGCCGCTCCATCACAAACCGAGAAGTCCTTGGACGACAAGTCCCAGGATGAAGATTACCTCTCCGACACTTCCGAGGGCTCATGGAAGCCCTCCACAGGGACCCATCCCAGCGTCAACCTCCCTCTCGCCTTCAAAATCTACATCAGCAAAGCCTTGACGATCACCAATTTCTACATCGCACGCGAAAAAGGCCAGAGGCTCCACGCCATCACCGGCCAGGCTCAACGCTTGACGAAGTCCGGCGAGACCATCCTGCATCAAGGCCCCGACGCCGATTCTCCCACCTTCGGTAATGCGACCATCGATGACAAGGAGATCAAGGTCAACCTCCCCTCTGGTACACACGTCCTGCACGAATTGAATGCATCGTTCTGGCAGAAGCTCAAATCCTCGGGCACTGAATTCTACTTCGATTTGCCCGTCAACGGTGGCGCCGCAACAGAGCGATTCGAATGGCGACGATCAAAGGGAGAGGAGGTGAAGAGCCTCCAAGGTCGAGGCAAGAATGGATGGATACTTTCGCGGGTTAGTCACGGTGCCGAGCCCGTCGCGGTGTATGCCGTTGACGCGGCGTCGATGAAGCTGGCGGGCCACTTCGCGTTCTTAAACAGTGGAGCGACGAGCGAGCTGGGCGCTGACTTTGCTGTCACGGCTGTTCTGTCAGCCTTGAGCCTGGGATATTTGAGGAGGCAGGCTTATGTGACGGGGTCTGTGTTGATAAACTCGAGAGGGGATTAATACTTAACAAGGTGGGCTTGACATGGGGCGACAACCCTAGGGATCGAAGCCTCCAGCTCGGGCTCCGGGGCGTCCAATTCAACTTTTGATAGATCAGACATACAACGAATTATACAGTGAAGGGAAACAGCTTGTGTCCAGACCGTCGATACGCAAATCGCTCTCAGGTGCAGTGGCACAGTCCGTGAGTCTCATCAGCTTGTTTTCATTCTTCGTCACTGAACCAGTTTGTAACACAATGTCTAATAGATGAGGAGATATGCATGTGTAGCTCAGCTCTTGAACCGCACGAACGTTACCTCGCAAGCTCGCAATTACACTCGAGTATCTTCGCTCACGGTCGAAAAAGCGAGTGCGTGCACTGCCAACGTCCACGTGGTGAAGATTCTGCGGCTGAAGTCAATTCATGCGACCGGCAGATTGTTGCGGTCTCTCGCTTGAATGCCGACGGCCACTCATCGCTGAACCTGTCAATGTCACCACCCAGAAAAGGCCCAGCCACGAGGTCACCAAGAGCACGACTGGTCACGGTTTTGCGCAAGATGTCACCGTGGATGGCATCACGACCGCGCTCTGGAGTCTAGCGAATTGTCTCAGCATCCCCAGAGTCGCACCCAGAGCTTGAAAACGCCCAGTGAGCTGACCAGAGGCCGGCAATGTCCGATCATCTCGTCGCTAATGCAAAGCAACACTGGCGATCAATATGATAGCGCGTCTGCCGAGTGATGGTACCCCACGGCTCCGATCCCCCAAGAATCGTACTCGGTCCACCGTGATCTTTCCCGCAGTGACCAGACGAGGCCAACTGGAGGAGTTTTATAGCAACCATCAACTTTTACAAGCGGAATTGAACAGGCAATGGAGCAACATTGAGATCGAGCGGACAAGATTGACCGGATCAAATCAGTCCCTTGCGGCCTCCCACTCAACATGGATTGAGATTGTCGACCATGATCTGCAAAACAAAGACATCATGCCCCACCGGGCAGGCGACAGATTTGCTCATCAAGGCATGATAAGTCGCTGCCAACCCAACAGGACTCCACACCCTGCAGCCAAGCATTCGTCCCGCTTGGTCACTGCTCCCATCACGCTGCTGTCTGTTCATCGCGATGAGCAATATCGGAGCAGCTTGATGATGCACCGCAAGCTGTGACATAGGGCAAATCGCCCTTCAGCGCCTTGCAGAAACTGTGAAAGCGGCTCGAGCATGAAACCGCATACCATTTCGAATAGAGACTGGAGCACCCACGTGACTGGTCCAGTGCTTTGCACGCATGACAAGGTATGTATTTTCCCGACTGATTTAACTCAATCCTCCATTGATCTGTTATAATAATCTGAGCTCCGCCCGTGTGAGTTCCCAAGTAACAGGCGACCACGATATAGCTCAAATTCGAACCCTGGTGCATCATGCAGATCAGCGCAAAGATAGTCTGATGTTCAAAAACCGTAAAGCTGCGCAGCTGAGACAGACCTCACACCATACCGTTGCAGATGAGCGCGAAGGCGGCAAGGGAGCAAGATATCATTGCTGGTAATCGTATTCGTGGCAGGGGTCTATCGATTATAGCAATGGCGGCCAGACGGACAAGCACGCTGCGCCCACTGGATCGATTGACGGGCATGCTCTTCATCCTCATATCGATTGGCGATCGCCGCACTTCAGCTGCCATCGACTCTTCTCGTACACCGCGCTCTTATGGCTTATTCCCTGCAACGAGAGGCTTTCAATAGGAATGTCACCGTCCTGCGTAGGCGTCATGTCACCTAGAGCTTGACCTTCGACTCATTAGAGTCATGCCAGCTTCAAAACAGAAGCGAATCGGATTTCAGACCACCACCGCAGTCATTTGTAGAAGTTTCGCGGTGTCCATCGTCGTTACCTGCTGCTTCCGATCGTGGGGTAATCAGCCTTGCGGCCGAAAAAGTCTAGTAATGCGGCGTTTCCATCGTCTGTCCTTTGAGACATCCTCTTTCTTGTGAGGCAATTGCGGTTCGACGTTTGGGACAGACCTGTGCGGCAATGTATGATCCTTTGAGTACTTCACTTCGAGGAGCTCCTTGGTCACGACAATATCATTGCGTAGCTGCATGGCCTTCTCTGGGTCCCCACTCTCTTCATACATCTCGAGTAGCACCCGCTGTGAAATGAGTCGGTGAGGGTGTTCTATCGCATATTCCACGTAAGTCGCGACGACCTTCTCGAGTAGCCGGACAGCCTTGTCCGTCTGCCCATCCGCATCGTACGCAAGTGCAAGCCCATGTTGCGACGCGAGTCGGCCCGGATGCTCCTCTCCGAGGATACGCGATCGAATCTTAACGACGTTCTCGAGTAGCTGGACGGCCTCGGGGACCTGCCCGTTTGCTTGATATGCCCTTGCAAGCGCGTGTTGCGACACGAGTCGGTCCGGATGCTCCTCTACGAGGATACGCGATCCAATCTTAACGACGTCCTCGAGTAGCTGGACGGCCTCGGTGACCTGCCCGTTTGCTTGGTATGCCCCTGCAAGCGCGTCTTGCGACGCGAGTCGGCTCGGATGCTCCTCTACGAGG